AATGTACAGTTTCTGGAGACAGAGGAAGCAGGGTGTGGTGGGACTTGGGGCACCCCCTCTCCCCATCGCTTGCTTGCGGCCCTCTGCCTATCTAGGCTCCACTCACACCCAGGTGCTTGAACCCCATGCTCTCAAATTTCCTCTCAATTCATCACTACCAGGACTCTTCCCATCCCCTCTCTCAGCTTACCCCCAACTTATGAGCAAGTTCTGGTGAGTCTCAGATCCAGACAGGCACTGAGCCTGGGTGCCTGTTACCACCTGCGTCCCAGCCAGTGTGGTCCCAGCCTCTGCTTCCCTCCCCTGGACACCTGCCAGAACCTTCTGTCTAAGCTCCTGACCCCCTCCTGCCCTCCTCAGCCCACGGAGCCCCACAGAAGAGCTCAGGACTTTTCCCACCTCGGGGCCTTTGCAATTCTCCTGCTCATCTGCCAACTGCCTCCCCGTTCATCCTTTTGTGCCCAGACCAGATCTGTGTAAGAAAGCCAGCCCCTGCTGTTCCTGAGTTCTTAGCCAGAGGATCCCTTCCCCCGCCCCAGAGTGGCCTGTCCTGACCCACCCTGTCTCTGTTCCTATCCATCTGAGCTCTCCCTGCCACCTTGGTTGGCTCCCTGTCCTTTGGCTGGTTCTCTAGGAAAGCGGGGACCTTGTCTCCCTTGTTCACCCACACACCCCCTCCAGCCCATCCCGTATGTCAAGCACAGCGTCCTGCACACACCAGAGTCTTGGGAAGTACCTGTGGTCTCACTGGAAGAATCAGTCTCCCTGCCCTTCAGGTCTCCTGCATGGGTCCAGCCCTCTGGAGAGGAAGGAGCTAAGACTCTGGGGATCACCCTTGGCCAGTGGATGACTGGAGCCAGGGGATCCCTCCTCCCCTTTTTGTCCCAGGACTGGCAGTCCTGACACACATTTCATGAGGCAAGATGGAGTCCCCAGGCCCCCAGGGCAGCAGGCAGCTTATCCAGCTTCCCTGTGGGGCTCTCCCTCCTTCCCATCCCTCCTTCCCCATCCCGCACTTCTCCCTGGGATAGCTTCCTGAACAATAACCTTTTCCTCAGGCTTTGATTTTAGGGAACCCAGGTTAAGACACACTGTGAGTTGGGGGAAAACGTTCTCAATAGCAACCCAAAGCAGAGAAAGGCACAGGCCAGCCAGGGTTCATATCTGCTCCCTTATTAGGCCACATTGCTCAGAGTTACCCATTTAGCCAATGTTGATGTGTCCACTCACAGCAGAGCACTCCAGCAGGAGTTAGGGGAGGTGCAGGCACCATCATACCCCAAGAGGCCCAGAAGGGGCACTGCAGGTGGGTGCCAGCAGGACTTGGCCTGAGGAGGGGACATCGATGCACATTGCAGTTCCATCACTGACCAGCCTCCTGGGCTTGGGAGGTTTACTCAGTGGCCTGGGCTTCTCCCGGCACCATGAGATGATAGGGAAGGACAACATGATAATGGTCTGTACTTTCTAGAGTTGCTGGGAGAGGAGCTTCGCAAAGCATGTAGGTGGTGTTAGCAGGGTGGTGGTGCCAGTGACGGCAGCGGCAGCAGCAGCAGGTGTGGGGCCTCGTTAATCTCTGAGACTGACATCGTTTGTACCAGTGTAGAAATAAATACCCCTCCCCTCCACAGAATCACTGGACAGGTTGACACTGGAAGCTGGCACTGAGTAGGTGCCTCATAAATGTTAGTTCCCTTTTTGTTCCTTAGAATAATGAGTTGACCATCCGTTATTCCCTCCAGGTCACTCAGCATCAGTTACTTTTTTTTTCAGTCTAACCACCAGGCCACCTGTTCGTCCCCACAACCCCTCTTTTGAACATTTCGGAACATGGTCTTCATCTGACAGTTAACATATTCCATTTAACATGCTACCGTTTTAACTTATTTTCTTCTCCCTCCAAATATTTTGATGTCAGCACCGGCACCATGTTCCTTGGTGTTTCCCAGTCTCAGCCATGCGTTCTTACTGCTGAGGCCTGGCCAAGTCCTGGCTTCTCCAAGGTCAGGGGATGAGGGGGCCTCATCCAGTCAGCCCCAGAGCCAGGCGAGCCCGAGCTGTGGGTAAAGGTAGCTGAGAGGACGCTGTTCTGAATTTATGGCCTCATCCCTGACCCCAGTAGGTCCCCAGGATCCTTCCTAGCATTGGCTGCTTCGAGTTTGTTGATGATGTTGGTTGACGCCTGTCTCCACTACCAGGCCACACTCTCTGAGAGGCAGAGACTCTTGCTTTTGTCACTGCCGTGTCCCCAGTATATGGCACAGTGTCTGGCACATGGTAGACCATCAATAAATATTTATGGGAGGAAGAATGGGATATGGAAATTTGGGAGTGGGTGAGGGGGCAACAGTTGGGAAAGGTGAGGGAGAAGTAGGGATATTTGAGTTGGGTCTTGAAGAATGAGTAGGAGTTTGCCAGGTGGCCAGGTGGGAAAGGCACCAGCATGTGCAAAGACCTGGAGGCATGAAGAATGTGGTGCTTCCTGGCAGTAAGCAAGTGGGCAGGGCACCTGGAGTGTCTGGTAAGATGGAGAGAGCTGACTGGGGCTGGAAAGGTGCTCTCTGCTCATCATGCAGGAGCCCAGTCGGAAGCAGCAAACTGAGATGTGTCCTGAAGACAACAGAGTCAGGCCATGATGTAAGATTCTCACTGGAGAGGGGAAAGTTCTGACTGCACTGCAGAGGCCACCCTTTAGCAGGGCCTGGGCATTCCCCAGCTGTTCCCACACTCTTCCACTTCTGCAATTGTCCCTGGGAGAGAAATCACAGTCCTCCTTCTCCCACGGGGTACTGCCCAGGGCAAGGTCACACCCAGATCCCCTAAAAGCCCCAGCATCCCCAGAATCACAAAGGAAGATTCTCAGGGAGAGGCTGGTTTTAAGAAATGAAACTCTGCTATGGTTATAAGCTAGCAAAAGGGGAACTTGGAGCTGAAACCATTTGGAGGACATTTGGGGCATTTTCCTAAATTAAAAGTACTCGAGACACAGGGCTGGCTTAACTTCTCCAGCACCAAACACGAGCTCCTGCCTCTCTCAACAATGAAAATAAGCACAATCTTCACTCAGGACAGTCATCTGTGCCCATGAGAATCCACATGCCAGCACTTCAGAGCCTCTCCTGAGAGGAAGCTGCTCCTCCCCTGCTCCTGAGCCCCTCCCTTCTCTTCTGGGAGCCAGCCTGGGGCCCAGTATCCAGCTCCTCCTTCCAGAAATAGGCATGCAGATCTGTGCACCTCTGAGTATGTATCATCCATTTATTTTTTCCACATAGTAATGGAGCATCCCGTATCATTTCACACAGTTTCACCACCTTCTTTTCTTTTCTTTCTTTTTTTTTTTGATGCACAGAATTTAATCAATACATTATTTATCTGATGAAGAGTTAAGTTGTTCCCAGTTATTTTTACTACCTTTTTATGCACATGTACAAATGTATCTGAAGAGTAAATTTCTAGGAATAGATTGCTGGGTCATTTAAAATTTTGATAGATCTCAAATTATTCTTCCAAAGAGATTGTCAAAATCAAAATCTACTTCTAGCAACAGCTCGAAGGTCTGCCCACTTTCCTCACCATCCCCATCAGGTGGGTGCCTTCAGCTGCAATCCCTCCCTTGAGATGCGGGTAAATCAGCTGAGAGCACCTCCCAAGGGGAGGCTGCAGGGGCCCTGCACTGGCCTCACCCACACACCTGGAACATGTGGTGTGAGAAGGCTTATTTCACCTGTCACTTTATATTAAATCTCATTTTCATTTGTTTTTTAAAATAAGTAACAAATAGTACAAATATGAGAAGGCAAAAGCCAGTCTCCTTGTATCCCTGCCTTCTAGTCACCCACCTTCATCCCCAAAAACGCTACTGTTCTCTTTCTCTGTCCAGAAATACTTTGCACACATTCAAACAAATCCGGGTATAAAGTATACCCTCATTTTTGAAGACCTGCAAAACATCCCATTTTATGGATATGTAGCTAGCCCCTCTCCTTCTGCCATTTGTCTTTTCACTTTCTTTTCTTTGCCATGCAACTATTTTTAACTTTTTTGTAGTTACATTTTCTTTTGTGGTCTCCTGTTTTGAGTCATACTTAGAAAGGCCTTCTCCAAAATTTTATACAAAATTTCTCCCATGGTTGAGCCTGGCACTTTTATAGTTTCATTTTTCATCTTTAAATCTTTTTTTTTTTCTTTTGAGATGGAGTCTCACTCTGTCACCCAGGATAGAGTGCAGTGGCACGGTCTTGGCTCACTGCAACCTGCACCTCCTGAGTTCAAGGAATTCTCCTGCCTCAGCCTCCCGAGTAGCTGTGACTACAGGGGCGGTCTGCCACGCCCAGCTAATTTTTGTATTTTTAATAGAGACAGGGTTTTTTCACCATGTTAGCCAGGCTGATCTCAAACTCCTGGCCTCAGGTGATCCACCCACCTCAGCCTCCCAAAGTGCTGGGATTACAGGTGTGAACCACCACGCCTGGCCTTAATCTTTAATCTATTGTGTATTTTTATTTGGTTGTAAGGTGTGACATAAAGATTCAACTTGATTATTCCTCACATGGCTCTCCCATGTGAGGAAATACTATGGGATATACTATCCCATGTTTAGAGAATCCATCCTGTCCTCACCCCTTTGAAAGAGTTCCTTAAACATTCCAAACTTCCATATGTGTGTGAGTCTTTCTCTGGTCATGCCACCCAGTGCTGTGCTGTTTTAATTACTGAGTAGCTCTACTCAGGTTTTTGTTTTGTTTTGAGATAGAGTCTTGCTTTCTCGCCCAGTTTGGGGTTCAACTCACAGCTCATTTCAGCTTCCTGCTCTGCTGAGCTCCAGTTACTCTCCTACCTCAGCCTCCTGCATGACTGGGATTATAGGTGTGCGCCACCACACTTGGCTAATTTTTTTATTATTATTTTCTATAGAGGTGGGGTCTTGCTATGTTGCCCAGACTGGTCTGGAACTCCTGGCCTCAAACAATCTTCCAACTTTGGCCTCTCAAAGTATTAGGATTACAGGTGTGAGCCACCATGCCCAGCCTCTGTACTGTCTTTTAATAATTGGTTGGGCTGGTCGGAGTTCACTATGTTTTCTTTCAAAAGTGCACTTGCTATTTTTGCTTATGAACCTTAAGAATCAACTTACCTCATTTAAAAAGAAATACTATTCATATTGTGTTAAATTAATAGACCAAGGTAGAGAGAATTGGCATCTCTGTTATGCTGCTGGCATCCCTATTTTCCTACTTATATACATAGCATGCATTTCTGTTTCTCCTAATTTACAAATAGGTTGTTCTTTTTATGTATTAATTTTGCACCCAGCTGATTTACTGCATTCTTTTATTGATTATGATGGGTTTTCAGTTCATTGACTTAGAACTTCCACACATATAAACAAGTACCCTGAAAAATAATTTAACAGGAGGAGTAATAACAGCTCACCCTCTCCTCCAGCTTTCATAGCTTTCCATTCTTTCTCTTGTCTGGTTGGTGAACCCTTCCAGGGAGATGCTCTATACCAGGGGTCTTCAGTGGACGTGCCTGTATTTTTCCTGGCTTTGATAGGAATGCTGCCGTTGTCTCTCCACTGAATGCAGTGTTGGCTTTGAGTATATCCAGGTGAAGATCCACCTGTTCTCATTTAACGAAGAATATTTATCAAAATGGATGTTCAGTCTTGTCAAGTGTCTTTTCCAATTTCCCCTTAGACTGCTGGGCTGCAGGCTGCCAGTGTGCACCAGCAGGCCAAGGAGGCCTGCCCATGCCTGGTAGCTCGGGGAGGAGGTGGTGCAGCTACGTGGGCGGCCTGTGGCTCTCACGCTGTCTGTACCATCCTGCTTCCAGCTGCAGGAAACAGGCAAGCCCATGTAACCTGCCAAAATCAAAGGAGCTATGTTATTCTTACAGACCAAGAAATCCAGAGGGAGAGGTAGGCGGCCCCATGGTAGTGACTCAGGGCCTCAGCAACGTCAACAAGGACATGGCTTCCCCCTGCCCCTTCACCCCCTTGATCTATTGGCTCTGCTCGCTGGCCAGAGTGGCTGCAAGATGACCACCAAGTGACCAACAGGCAGGACACGCCCCTTCCATGGAGAGGGGTCTCTTGGTGGAGTCCTTCTTAGACAGGAGGGAGCCTTTCTCAGATGTCCCTCCAAGAAGTTCCCCTTGGACCTCAGTGGCTGCATCTCTAGTCTTAGGGCAGCCTGTGAAATAGATCTGTTTTTCATTTCTTTCCAGATCTTCTTTAATGAGTGATAGGTATGCGCCTCTCTCAATGGCTGCCCGTCGTTCCATCACCTTTGTGTATCCTGGTGTCCCATTCCCCTGCTTTGGTCATGATGTTGCTTCTGGTATTGGATTGGCTTTTGTCACTGCATGCTTGTTTGGGCATTTTGGGTTCTGAAATGTTGAATATGGACTCTGTGGCTGCTGCCCTTCTTAGGCCAGCTAGAATTGCACTTTTGGCTCTAGCGCATCAAGACATGCTATTGTGTGCAGAGCAGGTACGAGAACTCCACAAAGGATAGGGCAGGGGGCCAGGTCGAGGGAGGCTGCAGCGGGGCCACTGCTTGGGGATGCAGAGGGCTCTAAATCCTTGTGCTGGGACTGGTGGGGGGTGTTGGGGTGGCTTCCTGTACATGTGGGAGACTTCACTTCACTGACTTCTGGCTTGGGCAAGGGGCCAGAAGGGCCATGATGTGGAGCACCTGGAAGCTCTGAGGACCAACAGGTGCCCAGTGCATTTTTGTTCAGGGGCCTTCATTGTTCGCCAGTGCATCCCAAGGAGGAGAGGCATTCACCAGGTTTCTAGGTGCCCCGGTGCAGCTATGCAGTATGGCTGGTGTGGTCCCTGCAGGGGTGGGAGGCTGGGTAATGGGGGACTCTTCTGGGCCCTGTCCTGCTCGGGCCAGCTTTCTCCTTTCACCACAGGATCCCATCTTCCTTCTCAGAAAATAGAGCGTGTGGGCTCGTGATGACAGGCCAAGGTAGATGTTACCTGCAGGGAACCTTATGAAAAGTGGGGACTGGCCCTAGGCGCTGCATCCTCTTTCTCTGGAGTGCACACACAGCAACTCTAAGGGATAGATAGAGGCGGAGCCCTAGAGGAACCATGGACACATGAAGTTTCTGCTGCTCTCAGCCTATCACCTCCCCTCCTGATATTCTGCCCTTCATCTCTTCAGCCCCACTGGGAGGATCCCGGGATGGCCACCTTCTCTTATCCCATGACAGACAACAACAGAGTCAGGGCCCAGGGCCCACTGCAGTGCTGCCCTGGGGGATGGAGCACAGTGGGAGGGGTCCGTTTATTGAGCCCCTGGGCCTTGCAGTTGCTGTGAGTGGCAGGAGCTGCACCTGGGACTGAGGTATTGTGGCCAAGGTGGACCTGGAAGGAGGGGCAGGTGGATAGCGAGACCCCAGGTTTCCTTGGCTTTGTTCCTGTGTCCCCAGTAGTTCCCTGCCTCTTCTCTCCAGACCTGTTTTCCTGGATGGGCTCCTTCCTCCCCGGCTTGCTCATCTTGTACCACAGCACATTACGAGGCCTCAGACAGCCGACCCCTTACACAGCATCTGCTGACCACCAGCACTCCCTCTTCAACATCCTGTTCCCTCCTTCCCCTCTGCCTTCTGTGCCTCCTTTTCTCTCTGCATTTATGGCAATAAAAATACTTTCTGGAAACAGAAGTGAGTCGTCGGCCTCCTCCTATCCCTGGCTGAGTGGTGCTGACAGGGAGGCTGGCAGCAGAAAGCCCAGCTGCCTTGGAGAACCCCACCTACTTTTCACCCATGCCAAGGAGACAAAGCTGTGGCCCGAGGCCTACCCTGAGGAGACAAGGTCAGGATCCTGCTCTCCTTCAGGAGTGGGCTTTGCTTTTGCAGCTGAGCAAGCACGTCTTGCCGTTCTGATAATTTTTCCATGGGAGGCCCTAGCCCTGTATGTGCAGGTAGCAGATTGTCCAGGTCCCATGATCACCCCCCAAGGGCAGGTGGGAGGTGTCAACCCCCTAGGAGGTCAGCAGCATGCAGTTTCTCCTGACCAGCCATGGGCAGTTGGGAGAGTCAGTGCCCAGGGCCCACTGCAGTGCTGCCCTGGGGGATGGAGCAGTGGGCCCTGGGCCCCCTGCACAGAGCCCCAAGGAATCCAGTGCACCCAGTTCACTCTGAGGACCTGAGAAAGCTGAGTGTGAACAGCTCACAGTCCAGTGGCAGATGGGGCACCTTGGTTCCTGCCCTCCACTCCCCAGGGGTGTACTACGCAGCACCTCCACAACCAGGCTTGTGAACTCCTTAGGGCAGGATGCAGCCCCACTCCATTACTGCACTGAACTAGGAGGGGGACTCCATCAAGTAGCAACCGGCACACAGCAGCACAGACTTCCTTATCTAGTGTGACCGGCTGTCTTCCTGCAGATACTTGGCAGGCACCAGGCGATTGTTCAGCAGGCACCTGGAGACAAGGATTAGGTAAGACCCTAGAGAAGGAGGTCCCAGCAGCTAAGGTGAAGAGAGCAGCCAGAACAGGCAGCCCTGCAGGCAGCAGCTCTGGGCTGAGAATTCTTGCCCTTCCAGTTCTTACCTATGTGACTATGAGCAACAAAGTCCATCTCTCCGACCTCAGTTTCTTTATCTGTAAAATGAGAATCATGACACCTATCTCACAAGCTATGGAGAGGATAAAATGCCACAGTCTATGTGATTGCATGTATGTGGCACACGGCTGGCGCATAGTAGGCTGCTGTTGTTATTTAATGTTCTTACCGTCCCCATCATTATCGGTACAGGAAGAGATGTGAGGATTGTATATCCTCATACCACCAGAGCCCCACTGTCCAGGTCTCTGAAGGCAGCAGACCACAAGGGGGATGGTTGTGCTTCAGGCTGTGTTTTGACAAAATGGGGATTGCATGCATCACCTTTGCTGCATCACAGATTACCCCCCAAACCTAGTGGCTTAAAACAGAAACATTTATTATCTCACGGCTCTGTGGGTGGGGAATCTGGGTGTGGCTTGCCTGCATCCTGTAGCTTGGGGGCTCTCAAAGGCTTATCCCGGTGTTAGCTGCAACTGTGGCCTCATCTGAAGGCTTGACTAACAGGAGATCCACTTCAAGCTGAATCACACAGCTATTTGTAAGGGACAGTCCCTTGAGGGCTGCTAGACAGACTACCACGGTCCCTTGCTGGCTGTTGCTAGAGACTTCTCTGTTTCTCACCACATGGGCCTCCCGCCTCGGGCAGCTCCCAACAGGGCAGCCTGCCTCATCACAGCCAGCAAGCCAGAGAACAAGGGAGAGAATGTGAGACGGAAGCCACTGTCTCTTTGTGACCTAATCTCAGAAGTGACATCCTGTCAATTTTTGCCACATTCTGTTCATTAAAAGCAAGTTACTGGGTCCAGCCCACTTTCATGAGGAGTAATTACACAAGAGTCTGACTACCAGGAGGCAGGTCCACTGGGGGCCATTGCGGAGGCTGCCTACCAAGGGATGAAGCCAGGAACACCCACTCTGCTGCCAGACTGCCTGGGGCATTCAGATCCTCAGCTATTAAGAGTGGGCTCTGAGGGACCAGTGCTTTAGGACACCAGTTGGCAACTGATTTCCCTTGGGTGACCGGGGACAGTTGGGAAGATACACCTTACTAGTCATGTGACCTTGGACGAATTATTCAACCTTCTGCAGCCTCTGTGTTCTCGTCTGTCAATTGGGTATCATCATTGTAACACCATATCAGGTGGTTGTGGGACATCGAGATAAAACATGCAAAGCTGTTAGGATGGTGCCCAGCAATATGGTGAACACTCAATCAAAGCTGGATATTTTAATTAAGAGAGATTGCCTGTTACCTCCCAGAGCCCTCCACATCCCCCCCAGTGGCTGCTGCCATTCACTGAACCCTAACCCTTTTCCAGACACTAGACTAGTCCCTGGGACACCAGGAAGAACAGTCATACATTCCTTCATAAGTCATACAATCCTTTCACAGAGACAGGCAGTAAACACGTATGCAGACAAACAAGCTGCTTTCCAATCAGGATAAGTCCTATAGAGAAAGCCATGTAAGACTAATTGGATGGGAGGGGGCAGCTCCTTGACAAAGGCTGTCACCTAGGGAAGGATTCTGTAATGTACATTTGAGCTGAGGCTGGAAAATAAGAGGGAGTCAGCCATGCAAGGAGGTGGGAGGGCATTTGGAGCACCCGAGAGAATGCAAAGTTTCTGGTGGGAAGAAGGTGAATTTGAGGGAGAGAGGGTGCTGGAGTGGCTGACAGCAGGACATGGGCCAGGGGGAGGAGAGGTGGTCCGAGGGACCTGGAGGCCCACAGTCACATCGGAGTTGGGTTTTATTCCAAGAACGGTAGGCCCTCTGAAGGGTTTCCAGCAGTTGTGATTTGCCCTTAAGAGGCTGCTTCTTGTTGGAGAGGTGGATAGATGGGTGGATGGATGGATGGATGGATGGATGGATGGATGGATGGATGGACCAATGAGCAGATGGATAGATGGGCGGATGAACAGGTGGACAGATGGATGGAGAAATTGGGGAGATGGGCAGATGAACAGGTGGCTTCGGCACAGGCACAGCCCCTTTCTCTGTACTTGCTGAGCAGAGTTTGGTGCCCATTGCCTGCCTCTGCCCTCCAGGGCTGCCTGAGTATGGGCTCCTGACACCACATCCCGGGAGGAGTGAATATTGCTGGAGGAGAGGAGACCAGGCTGAGTGAGGGAGCTGCTTCCTGCTCCCTTTGTCCCAGAGGCAAGGGAGACACCATAAGGGTGGCAGCTGACTTGGCACACAGAATCCACAACAGCTGAGTTCAAATCCTGGCTGTACCATTTCCCAGCGTGATGGCCCTGGGCCACTGAAAGCTCGCGGAGCGTCAGCTTCTCTGTCTGACACAGACCACATGCCTACCTTAGAGGGTACGGGGGCGCTTACCAAGTACCACGTGCAGGTTCTGTGCCCAGCCCCTGGCTTCTTGGTCTCATTTCATCTTCACCACAGTCCCAGGAGGTGGGTTTAGTTATTGGCCTTGTTTTGCTGATGAGAAAATGGAAACAGAAAGATTAAGTAACTAACTCAAGACCATGTGGCAACTAAGCACTTATATCAGGCTTCTCCCATGCATTCATTAATCTCCACTACCTGGTGAGTGGGTCCACCTGGAGAGGAGAACCCTGAGGCATAAAGCTGGTGGCACTGAGCTGGGGTTCCCACATGCCAGATAAATAGGACTCCCCCACCCCCAGGGAGTCAAGAACACAGCAGGACAAGCGCACGGGGCGGCAGGCACAGATGCGGATGCAGAACAACCACACCGACCTCCCACTGGCGGGGATCCCAGCAGGTCCTCCTTGCCCCGCCCCAGACAGTCCCAGCCTTCGGGCACTGGTAAATGCAGAAGTTCCCCAGGAGAGACAAAAGGCCTCAGCCTGGTGCCCACAGGCAGAGCGCACAGGCAGCCGAGTGGCCGCAGTCCCGCAGTGGAGGAGTGCCTCGTGCACCTGGTGGTTTTCTGCACCCCAACAGGTGCATCTGGCCACTGTTCCTCCCACTGCAGGCCCCGCTGCTCCACACCATGCCCTTCTGGCCCATCAGGCATCTGAAGAGGAGTGGGCGTCTGCCCAGGGGTAAGTGGATAGCTGGAGTCACTGGGAGGCTGCGAGGACCAGGCTAGGAGACTGGGGAGGGCGATTAACCCTTGAAAGGGAAGTGGTGTTTGGTGGCCGCAACCAGGTAAAGAGAACTGAAAGACATGAATGAAGACTGGGAGGACAGCAGGGAGGTTCAGCCTGGTACACTGGGGATCCTGTACAGGCGCCTCCAGCTGGCTCATTGCCCAGGACTGACACCACACACACAGGCAGGTCTCAGGATGCCTGAGAGTATGCTTGGCAAAATAATGGCCCACCAAAGGCAACATACACTGCCAGCCCCAGTCCACACTCTCCCTCACTGTAGCCACCAGCCACATGTGGCTGCTAAGCATATGAAATGTGGCTAGTCCAAATTGAGATGTGCTGTTAGTGCTAAATACGTGTTAGTGCCTTAAAGATTTTTAAGACTTTGTACAAATATATGTATAATATCTCAATAATTTTAATTGACATGCTGAAATGAATGCTACTATTGTAGATATATTGGAATAAACAAAATATTAGGTTGGTGCAAAAGTAATTGCTTTTTTTGCCATTGAAAGTAATTTATTTTCGGCTGACTGCGGTGGCCTGTAATCCCAGCACTTTGGGAGTCGAGGTGCGTGGATCACCTGAGGTCAGGAGTTTGAGACCAGCCTGGTCAACATGATGAAACCCCATCTCTACTAAAAATACAAAATTTAGCTGGGTGTGGTAGTGGGTACCCATAATCCCAGCTACTCGGGAGGCTGAGACAGGAGAATCACTTGAACCTGGGAAGCGGAGGTTGCAGTGAGCCAAGATTGTGCCACTACACTCCAGTTGGGGCAAAAAGAGTGAAACTCCATCTCGAAAATCAAAGGAAAGTAATTTATTTTTATATATATATTAAAGATAAATACAGCTGTTCCTTTTTACTTTTTTTAGTGTAGCTGCTAAAACATTTGAAGTTGCACATGTAGCTCACATTTTATCTCTGTAGGATCACACTGTTCTAGACGGCTGCATCTAGACACTGGGCCTTCACCCCTGACACCCAGCTGCTAGGGCCCTCCGAGGGTTTCTACACTCTAGGCAGCCAGGAGAGTGACAGTGGGCCCTGTGACAAATCATACATTGCTGCTGCCACTTTTAAATGGTGATTTAAAAAATATTTTTCAATGAACCTTGGTAAAGAGGGGTTAAGGCAGATATAAAATTTGATCAATTACATCAGAATGACAACTTTTTCACCTGAACATCATGGAATAAGTCCCAGGGGTTACAGTGGCTTACAAAGTGCTTTCACACATATCGGTTACTCTTTTTTCTTTTTCTTATGAAAATGTTTATATGGAAAAGTTGAAAGCCAGTTCTTGTCCTGGGACCCCTGCATTTTGGAGCCTCCCCCTCTCCCTGGGTCTCAAAAGGAAATCCTTAAGTTCAGGAGCTCAGAGGGGAGAAGGCCTGGCTGGAATCACAAAGGGCTGGTCACCTGGGGCTGGTGCCCTTGAACAAGCCACGGGCAGAAGCAGTGAGAAAAGTGGGGTCGGGATAGGAGCCAGACTTCCTGGGGTCATAGTTTCCTGGTACATACACACACACAGCTCATAGTTAGAGCTTGGGCTGTTTCTAAACATTTCTGGGCTCAGTTTCCTCTCTTTAAAATGGGAATAGTGATATCGCTTCCCTCAGGATCCCACAAGTGTTCACACTACTCAAACTCATCAATCTGTAAGTGTCATGCCCACCTTTCGCAAAGTTTTCACGTGTGCCAGTCTCCTTTGTTCTGCCGCTGCCGCCCTCACTAACCTCCCATTCATCTCAGGCTCAGTGCATGTCCTCTCCATGCCAGGCTCTGCTGGCTGTGCTGGAGTTGTCTATAAAACAGACAGAGTCGGGGTGGGCCAATGAGAAACATTATGAATAAGCATGTCATGTAAACACATAAAATACATACAGAGTGTATTGATTGCAATCAGTGCTATGGAAAAATTCAGGCCAGGAAGGAGCATGGGGTGTGGTGGGTGATGCGTGGTGAGGCTTAAATAGGACGGTCAGAAGAAGATGTTACCTTCCCCAAGAAGGTAACATCTGAGGAAAGACCTGAAGGGGGTCAGTGCTGGAAGGACAGCTTTCTGGGCTACAGCAGGAGCAAGGGAACAGCAAGTGCAAAAACTGTGAAGCAGGAGCATGCCGGGTGTGCTTGAGAACTGGCAAAAGCAAAGGGAAGGGGAGCCAGAGATGACGTCACAGGAGTAGGGGTCAGGGGCCTTCAGGCTCACTGCGAGGCCTTTGCCGAGATGGGCCTGCCGGGGGATGTTGAACAGGGGTTGGGGAGCTGGTTCAGGCCTCTACTAGGTCTCCGTGGCTGCTCAACTGAGAATAGACTGTCAGGGTGAGGGAAGGAGCCTGGAGACTGTGCAGCAGTCTAGATGAGGAGTGATGGTGGCCCAGACCAGGTGAGCAGTGAGAAGTGACCAGATTGCAGCTATGTTCTAAAGGAGAAGCTAATAGAATTTACTGAGAGGAATGGATAGGAAAGGTGAGAGAGAGTGGAGCAAGGATGTGTCTGGTTTCAACTTGAGTAACCAGAAAATGGAGTTGCCCTCACCCAAAAGGGGAGGGTGTCGGCAGATGGGAGGTGGACTTCCCCCAGGTCTGGAGGTCAGGGGAGCAGTGAATCTGGATGTCATCAGCACGAGGACAGCATTTAAAGCCTGAGAACGGATGGGTCCACCAGGGAGACTGGGGTCAGTGTAAAGGTGAGGGAGAGGAAGACTCCAGGGGGCTCCCAACTTCCCGCACCTAGTTGTGGCCACCGAAGTGGGAACACAGGAGGAGCTAGTTTGATAGATGAGGCACTTAGAATTTTTGGACATGCCACATTGTGCCTGTGGGAAGTCACAGGACGATAGAATTGTAAGTCATTTAGATTCATAGACAATAGAGATCTGGCTGTTCTGTATCAATGTTTCTTAACGGGGGCATTTGGCCCCCAAGGGGCACTTGGCAATGTGTGGAGACACTGTTGGCTGTCACAGCCTGGGAGGGAGGGAGTGGGCAGAGGCCAGGGATGCTGCTCTGCACAGGACAGGCCCCCACACCCCACGAAAAATGATCTCACCCAACATGTCAGTAGTGCTGAGGCCGAGAAGTCCCCCTCTATCCTGTATTTAATTATGATAATAAAAGACAACACTTAGAGAGTGCTTGCTAGCTCCCAGGGGCTAAGCTAAGGGGCTGTCCCATTTCATTCTCCTGATGAGATGGGTGCCTTTGGTTTCATCCCCCTATGGGTGCATGAGTCTGACAGTTGGGGAAATTAAGTTACTGTGCTCCACATTGAGGGAGCTGAGGTTTGACCCATAGAAGTTGGACCCTAAGCACTGTTTAAGAGAGCCTCAGCGCCGGGCACAGTGGCTTAGGCCTGTAATCCCAGCACTTTAGGAGGCCTAGGCGGGTGGTTCACGAGGTCAGGAGATCCAGACCATCCTGGCTAACACGGTAAAACCCCATCTCTACTAAAAATACAAAAAATTAGCCGGGTGTGGTGGCGGGCGCCTGTAGTCCCAGTTACTTGGGAGGCTGAGGCAGGAGAATGGTATGAACCCGGGAAGCGGAGCTTGCAGTGAGCCAGGATCGCGCCACTGCACTCCAGCCTGGGCTACAGTGCGAAACTCTGTCTACAAAAAAAAAAAAAAAAAAAAAAAAAAAGAGAGAGAAAGAGCCTCAAAGGTCTGCCATGTGTAATGGGATAGGGTGGAAACAGTGGCCACACAGACAGTTAAAGGGAGAAACCAGGAAATGTGATAATAGACCTTCATCTTTCATAATGAATTTATTCCTGAAATATTTGCCAGTGTAATTCTTATTCATTTAAGTAAAGCTAATATTAATATTTCCTAAGTTACAGAGAAGAAGGTCAGTATAAACCATGGAACACTGTAGAAAGTCCCGAAGTTTGTTGTAATCCCCCATTTCATCTTCCTCGCACTCCCCTTCATTGCCATAAGGGAGATTTTATATTGAGAAAACAGAATGAGTTTATGGGCGAACAAACCTGTTTGAATCCCAGCACCTCCACTTGCCAGTTCATGAGCAAAGTGCTTAACTTCTCTGAGCCTTGGTTTTTCCACCTGTCAAATGGGGTCATCAATGCTCCTTCCTAGGGCATCTGTGAAGACTGCCTGGGACTGTGCCTGTTAAGCACCTTGAAGGGTGTTTATCATATAGAGTAGGCCCTTAGGCATGGTAATAGGTTTTTCACTTCTGGACAAGATAAAGTACCAGGGACCTATTTACCCTCCCTCCTGAAACAACCAAAAAAAAAAAGAAAGAAAAGAAAAGGACAAAATTATTGAAACAATGCTTTTAAGATATTGGACGTTAGGGAAGGACTGTGACCCCCAAGAGATGAGAAACAAGGTGACCTACATGTGCCCCAGCTAACTGCCTGGAGAAAGTTTGCAGGCTGTATGCAGGAAGGGGAGACACAGGTGGAGCCCATTGGACTCCATGAGTTGGAGAGACAGAGCTAAAAGTCCAGAGAGACCAAAACATCTAGATCCTGCAGGGTAGCTGCTGAGGAGGAAAGAGCTGCACAGAGAGGAAAATGCCTTGAGAACTGAGCTGTGCACTCATCACCATATGCACATGAGGAAAACTACCCCAGGTTGAGCAAAGAACTACCAGAAAGGATCAGAGGCAACAGTGCCCACACTAATACCAGGCAAAACATGGCACCTGTTCCCGCCTGCAAGACCGCAAAACCTAGCGGCTTGTGGGGCGTAGGACAGAATACACAGAAGGGTTTTCCCTCAGTAGTGGGGAATAATTAGCTCTGTACTGAGCACTCTGGATCCACTTAACAAATCTTAGAGGCAAAATCTGTAAGGATCAAACTCTTTCCAAGAATCTAAGTTCATACCAGAAAAAGACTGAAGAATATTTATGGAAATACAGAAACATTCATCACCCACCCATTTAAAAATCACAGTATCTGGCAACTAATTAGAAATATCAGGAATGCAAAGAAGCAGGAAAAGTAGCCCATAATGAGTAGAAAAATAAAAAGCAATCAATTGAGACAAACCCAGAAATGAAACAGATTTTAGAATTAGCAAAGACATTAAAACAGTTTTTCTATGCTCATGGATAGGAAGAATCAATATCGTAAAAATGGCCATACTGCCCAAGGTAATTTATAGATTCAATGCCATCCCCATTAAGCTACCAATGATTTTCTTCACAGAATTGGAAAAAACTACTTTAAAGTTCATATGGAACCAAAAAAGAGCTCGCATTGCCAAGACAATCCTAAGCCAAAAGAACAA